ATGGGTTCCCTCAAACATTTATGGTTTAAGAATTGAAAATAAAATTCACTTAATTTTATTGCCACTTGGATTAAGAATATATTATGGATCATTTTTTCCAATAGAGAAAAAGATTGTTGTACATTTTTCTTTTGGGGTGCAACCAATCACTAATCTTCGTACCTTAAAGAATTAGGTCAAGTCAACCTTATATTAAAAGAAAAGGCAAATATGGGTATGCCATGCAAATCCATTTTTCTTCACCTTAATTGGGCATTTCCCAACCCCATTTTGATCATGTTTGTACTATTTTACCATGTCTTTGGAGACTTTTAACCTTTAGCAATGGGACTAAGAGTGAAGTGTTGGTCATGTTCTCTACCGACACAACCCGTTGGTAGGAGAGTGGGCAGTGGTGGCCTGGCCCCTTGGCCCGGAGGGGGGAAAACTCCCTTCGGAAAGTCAAGCAAAAAGGTCAGAAAATAGGGAGAAATGTGGTCAAATAGCGACTAGCCGTTACTTGTAAGATTTCCCAAAACCGAAAGAAAAAAACAAAAAGGAGCTGATGATCTAATATTGTACACCAATTTGCCACGTGCTTTCCGAGTGTCAACGTGTCTGCATGACACAAGCGGCGTACCGTTTTTGGAATAGAACATGCCATATGACCAAGCTCGACGTGATTCGTGCGTACATGTGGCTTTTGGGTATTTACTTATTATTTTTAATATGCTATTAAGATTTAATTTAATTATCATTTTTAATTGTTAATCTTTTATTACTTATTTTTTCACATATTACAAATAAAAACAAAATTAATAATAAAATCATGCAACAAAAATCAAATATGTTTTTCTATTTCAAATTTTTGTTATTTTATTATATGAAACATAAAATTGTACTAAAACAATTAAAATAAAAATTTACATTTGATAACTGATAGTGTATGGTTTATATACACTATCAGTTTATCAAAATGAACCACATCAGTAAAATTAAAATTTTTTAAACTTAAAATTAAATATTAAAAAGTTTATAATAATTATAAAATAAAATATTTCCACTTTTTTTTACCTCTCTCAGTTGTTTTTTTTTATTTTCTTGTTTTTTGTTTTTTTTTTCTTTCTTCAACTTTATCATCCTCTTCTTCTTCCATTAAAATTAAATTTTACAAAATTCTGTGACTTAGAGAGCAATTTTTATATTCTTTTCTTATTCTTTTCAACCATTAAAAAGAGAGATTGAGGGAACAAAGTTCAAATAAATATATGTTATTAGCAGAATCTTATAAGTTAACAATTTTGCTTTTAAACAACAAGATTAAGCCAAAAAACTATTTTTTTTCACAAGCAGTAGGCTTTTTTTTTTCATTGAATGCAGTTATAAAACTCTAAATTCCTATCAAAACCAAAGTTCTTTTGAAGTGTTATTTAACTATTTTACTAAAATTTAAAATGCTAATAAGTTTAAAGCTGAAATGTTAAACCAAATCACATGCTTTTAGGTATTTGAAAGCATTTTAATTTCTAACTAAACTCCATCTTTTTAAGATTTTAAATGAAGATCATTATGTTTTTTAATGAGATGTTACTAACCATTTTACAAGGGTTTCAAAATCAACGTATTTAATTGAAATTGAATTTCCCTTTGCAACACAACGACAAAGAGAAGTGGGATATGGCTTCTAGGAAAAGAAAATTTTGGGCTTAATCCTGTTGTTTAGAAGCAAAATTGTTGACTTAATAAAATTCTGCTAATAAGATATATTTGTTTGAATTTTTTTTCCTCAATTGTTTTTGGAAAGTATGTTTTCTCAATCCCTCTTTAATGTTTCAAAAAAATAAGAAAATAATCCAAAATTTACTCTTGTACAATTTTACAAAACCTTATTTTAATAGAAGAAGAAGATGATTGAGTTGGAGAGAGAAAAAAAACAAAATAAAAAAGAACAGTTGAGAGACATTGAAAAGTGAAAATATTTTTTCATTTAATTAGTTATTATAAACTTTTTAATATTTAATTTTAAGTTTTTAAAATTTTTTATTTTACCTCATTAATGGGGTGACACATTTTGGTGAGACAATACATTAAATATAAACCCTTAAAATAGTATGTGTAACATTATTTTTTAATAGTAAGCTTGACAAGAAATAAATGGCATGAAACAAGATATAATATACATAATTTAGACTTGATTTTTTTATATAAGAAATAGAATAAAATTGAAGTAGTACTTGTATATGCTCAAAGGATCAAATATTTTTTTTAAATTAAATGAATTTACTTAATTCTTGTTCGTACATAAATTAGATTTTGTTAGTAATAAACTCATGTGCTCAAAAAAGAAAAAATCCTTATTGTGCACCTTTAAGCATTGAATCACACCAAACAAAGAGGGGGAATTGGGCAATTTGCTTACCTGGCATGAATTAGACCGCCCGGTCATCATTCTCCTTCCTGCCACCACTGATAAACAGGGCCTCCTCCTCTGCTGTCACCATCCCCATTTAACGTCCGTTAAAGCCCCCACCCTGAACGGCAAACCACTCCCCTATGCTAAACGCCCCAAGCCAACGTGCAAGTCAAGAATCCGTGGATATCCCTTGGGATGATCCTAACGCCGTCACTAAGCTCCGTTATCTGCTTAGCTGGATGCCATTCTTGCCCCTCAATGGGCCAGCTGGCACGCCACTCTCTGCTGCACATGGCCAGCTACTTCTGTCCCTATGGGCCCACGTAAAATCCCCATAATACCCCTATAAGGCCACTCTTTTTACCATGATGCCACTGTCGGCCTTTAGGCATTTGGGATCCGCTTTCTTTCATGCGAAGTTGACATTTTCTTTCCCTTCCTCGACCCTATCGAAGGGAAAGGGTGCGGGGTTGAAGCAATTTCGCAACTAATGGGAAGCAATGGGGGCAGATATGTAAATATGAGAGGGTAATTTGGGTAGTTTGGGGGTTTAAAAATCTGTGTTAGCTTCTGGCTTGCGTAAGAGAGTTGGAAAATCTACTAGAAAGTACAGGAATCTAGGATGGTAGGATGGAAATAGCAGTCAGGAATTTAGTGAAATATCAAAAGCATTTACTATATAGTATTACCATAAAAAGAAAAGCCTTGCATGTAATCTCTCGTACATTTTCTTTTGATGACTTGTCATTTCTTTTTTCTTTTTAACATCACTCATTAAAGAAATTCAAAATAAATAAATTACTTTAATTAAATTTAATTTGTAAAACCATAAGAGTAGTGTATTAAATACCTTAACTGATTTTGAATTTCAACATTAATAATTTCACCAATGAGTAGAAAAATTGCACATCTGCCTCATAACTCAATAATTCTTACCAGTGATCATGATTTATAAATTTAAATTTTTAATAATGAAAAAAAATTTTACATTTCAATATGACTATTATGCGTAAATGATTGTAATAATAAGTTAAACTTATTTAAACCATAATATTGTCCTCGTACGTTAAAGTGTCATTAACACTAACATTAAAATACATGCAAATACGAATGCTATATCATTGATGTGAATCTAATAGTTTTAATTTATTTTATATAAAATATATTGACATATTTATGAGTATTTTCTTATATAATATCTTAAAATAGATTTTACTTAAATCCTAATTTTATTTTATACGTGAAAAATTACTGACAAAAAAAATTATTAACGTATTTGACAATTTGACTACTAATTAAAAATAAATACCTATAAATTTATTATGTATTTTTAACAAAAAGGACAGTCAAAAGTTGAACAAAATACTATCACTTATGAACATACAATAAAAGCTTCACAAACTCAAGATTAAATATTAATGGTAGATTATTATTTTGCTAAAAGATTAGAAAAGGTACGGTAAATTTGGTAATTACAGTCACTGCAGTAAATGTCCAAAAATTGGATACTGGTTTGATTTGATGTTTGCTGGTGTCCTTAAAGTGGGGCCACAAAGCTCTGCACACTGCCACGTGGTTGAGGGATGGCTTTGTTTGGACTCTTTTTAGGAAAAAATGGACTTTTGAGTTTTGGTAAAATTTACCACCGTAAAAAAAAAAGAGGCCGTAAAATTTGACTGTGGCAGTGTTGAAAAACAGTAAAAACAAAAATAACACTGATGCAGAGAAGAGGATGGAACTGGTCACCACCTCTTTCCATCTTAATTATTTTCATGCAATTTTTATTTGGCTTTCTCACTTGCTCTTTATTTTAGTGCACTTCACGCGCTATAATAAAAAAATAAAATGAAGCTATAGTTTTGAATTTATTTTTCTAAAAATTAAATTATTCAATCCAATAGTTTATTTCAGTGATGTAATTATTAAATTACTCCTTTCCAGTTAAAAAAACCAAAAACGTGAAAAATTAAAAGTTTTCATCCAAATCGGATGGAAAAATAAAAAAAGTAAAATATTTTATCCAAATTGGAGTCAATATTTATCAAAGAATCGTGATTTTCAATCTCTTTGATCTGAGAGTGGGATAAGACGTAGCCTCTACTAATAGAAACAGCACAAAAAGCAAACAATAGAGGCAACAAAGAGAGCCGAAGAAAACCCAAAAATCAAAATGAAGAGATAAATAAAATAGGAAGTGAATGGAGAGAGAGAGAGAGCAGGGAAGAGAGGTGCATGAAACCTGTCTCGTGAAGCAGCAGGTGGAACAAAAAAAAAACCAAAAATAAATGAAAATAAAATAAATAAATCAATAAAAACTCTTTCCCATTTAATTCTGCTTCTTCTTCTTCCTCTTCTCTTCTTTCCATTCTCATTCTCTCTGTAAAACCCTCTCTCCCTCTCTCTCTAAGCTCACATTCATTCTTTGCTTCTTCCTTTTATATCACGAGATCCCCATCTCTTTCTCTCTTTCTTTCCTTTCTTTTCCACCCCTCTCTCTCTCTC